ACCATATAAACAGACTGAGGAAAAAATCACATGATCATCTCACTAAATGCTGAAAAAGCCTTTGACAAAATCCAACACCCCTTCATGATAAAGGTCCTGGGAAATCAGGGAATAACAGGAACATACCTCAACATAATAAAAGCAATATACAGCAAGCCGACAGCCAACATCAAATTAAATGGAGAGAAACGCAATGAAATTCCTCTAAAATCAGGAACAAGGCAAGGCTGTCCACTCTCTCCATACCTCTTCAATATTGTCCTCGAAGTTCTAGCTAGAGCAATAAGAAAACAAAAGGATATCAAGGGAATACAAATCGGAAAGGAAAAAGTCAAACTCTCACTATTTGCAGATGATATGATAGTCTACATAAGTGACCCGAAAAACTCTACCAGGGAACTCCTACAGCTGATAAATACCTTCAGCAAAGTGGCAGGATACAAGATTAACTCAAAAAAAAAAATCTGTAGCCCTCCTATATACCGATTTCACATTGGTGGAGAAAGAAATCAGAGAAACATCACCCTTTACAATGGCCACAAACAACATAAATACCTTGGGGTAACACTAACCAAAAAAAGTGAAAGACCTGTACCGTAATCATTGTTGGTGGAAGTTATAGTGGTCTGAATGTTCAAAATATATTGTTTCAGGAAATATTTTATCAGAACACTACAGCAGAGGCCAAGGAGTAATGCTGCTTCCTGGCTTGCTCTCCTGGGCTTCCTAGGCCTGTTTTGTTAAAAACCCAGTACCACCTCATTGGGGATGGCACCGCCCACAATGGGCATGGCCCTCATGTGTCAATAATATTTTCCCAGGAAAAGATTCACACAGGAGGCGCCTGCCACCAAGCCTGGTGTTCTGAAGCAGATTACAGAGTTACACATATCTGAAGGAAAGAACTGACTCCTAAATGTCTTAGGACTTGCACATGTGATCCATGGCATGCGTGTATACATATATCACATCACACACACACACACACACACACACACACACACACACACACACACACACACGCCACAAATAAAGAAATGTCAATATTAAGAAATAACTAGCTCTCAGAGACTGTGAGGACCTTTGTGCTGATATTGTGGGTCAGGCACTAACTTGGGACCAGGGGACATGAAAATGAACAAACATGCTAAGCCCTGTCTTCCAAGATTTTCCATTCTATTTAAAGTAGAAATGACAGAAAGAAAGCGAGTTTATGCCGATAGGTGGCAGCAAGTGTCAAACCAAAGAATAAAGGAGGGTAAATTTTGGAAGGGCAGAGCTGCTTCAGAAAGGGAGTAGCAAGCTTCCACCCAGTAGAAAGTTATTCTAAAAGAATGGTGAAGCCCATCCCCTGAGCAAATTGAGAGCATGTGAAGACGGGGGAGGGAGCTACGAGAATGAGAAGGGAAGAAGAGGAAGGATGCAGAGGTCATGAGGGAGCAGAAAGGTTGAGTCAGGTGAAGAATAGAAGAAGGGGTATGTGATAGGTAGAGTTTTAGTTGGGGGGGTGGTTGGGGAGGAAGGGAGGGAGAAGGGAACTGGGATTGTCATGTAAATCAATCTTGTTTCTAATTCAAATTTTAAAAAATGATAAAAAAAATAAAATGGTGAAGCCAGTGCACAGGCCCTGAGGTGAACACATTCCTGGTGAGTTCAAGGAATGTGGAGCAGTAGGAAGGTAGAGCAAAGGACACATAAGAGACTGAGAGAAGAGAGAGAAACAGGGTCTAATGACACAAAAAGGCAGGGTGGGGTGAGTCAGGCCAAGCAGAGTCTTGTGACCCAGTGCAAGGGAAGGGTGTTTCACAATAAGACAGAGAGGATTGTAAAAGAGAGGTCAGGTTATTTAAACTAAATTTACATATTAGATTGTGATTCTGACTTCAAGACAGAGAATATAAAGCATCAAGTGGAAGAGTTAGGAAGCTGTAGCAGAGACCCAGGATGCTGGCTGGACCAGCAGTCTCCTTGGGCACAGTGAAAAGAGTCAGATTACAGATCTGATTAAGAGCCAGTGTGAGGGCTGGAGAGATGGCTCAGAGGATAAAGCAGTTGCTCTGCAAGCATGAGGACATGTGCTCTGACCCACAGCATCCTCACAAATCCCTGCTGGGCGTGGCTAAGGCTTGTAATCCCAGAGCTCAGGAGTGGGAAGCAGGGAGTACCCCCAGCTGGGTGACTAGCTAGACTAGACAAATCCATAAGCTCTCAGGCCAAAAACATGCACACACATGTGACTCCACATACACACAAACATGCACACACAGCACACACACACAGACAGAAAATAAAAAATGAATAAAGTGTTAATGGGAATCACAGACCAGATTTGAGGTTTAGGAGAGTCCGGGAGTGAGAAATGACCCAGGGTTAGGAGCCTGAGAGCCACTTCCTGAAATGAAGAGCCTGTGGGCCGGGCAGCCTACAGGGAGGAGAGAGACTGCAGAGATCCACAAATCTGGGAGATCCGGGAGCTACTGCTGAACTCCTGGAACCTGTGGCAAACCTGGGAGGCCCCACTTTAGTAGATGAGGGAAGTGAGGCTCAGACATGAGTTCTGACTCAGGAGGCAGAGGTCTCTGCAAGAATGGAGGAAGCGCTCAAGCCTGACTCCTCCCTCAGCTCAGACACCAGCACAGACTTCACAACAGGAAACTAACTGCATAATGTTGGACCTCAACCCCCAGGATTCAGAGAAAGAACTTCTGCGCAGACTCTGATGCCTGGCTTCCTGGAGGAGCCAGAGTCTCTTTCACTTTCACAGAATAGTATTTCTAGCTGAGGAGCCTTGGCCAGGGACACACATCAGTGAACCCCGAGGAAGAGCAGGGTGAGTAGTGGGACCAACAGACTCCACCAAACCATTTGAGTAGGAAGATAAGTGCTGCCCTGACTGCACTAAGGCATACTGTGGTCCACATAGGGACTCATCTGAGAGCCGGGGATCAGGCTCCAGCCCCTGCTTGAAGACTCTAATGGCCAACTCTAGTGGGTGGGAGGTTGCTGGCTTCACCTGCATGCTTCATGTGCCTGCTCCTGTCATAATCTATCCTGCACCCTCCTCTCTCTGGCCTGACCTGAAGCTGCAGGAGTAAGGGTTACTAATAGTGTGGTTTTAAGAGGGAAGATGCAGAATGAGAAATAAAGAAAGGTAAAGGCAATAGCTGGGAGCAGCAATTCCTGCATGATCTCATGACTTATGCCATGCAAATGTATTAAAAATTACAGCCTCGTATAGGCTATTTGCAAGGGAAGGTCAGCACAGAGCTAAGTCAGAAAATGTTTGCAACAATAACAAGATCCCTCTGACACTGCTGATAGCCACACCCCAGGGGGAAGTGTTGGGTCCCCGGAAGAAACAACTTCAATTCCTGCAGGGCACTAGCTCCAACATTAGACCAGCCTCACCAAGTCCACTCCTGGACATGGACACAGATCTAATGTTCTCTTAGTCCTTTCATCAGAGCCTCTGAGAAAGCCTTGGGTCAGCCTAGCCCCCCACACTTGTCCATGTGGCTCTTTGGTTTTCTCTGAGTAAACTGACCTTCCAGCTTAGTTGTCTCTGGATTTTTCCCTCTGTGTGGTGCCAGGAACAGGAAACTTCTAAAGATTCCTTCATAGGACTTATTCTGAACTCAGCCTAACCTCTTGAGTCCCCCTCTGGGTTGCTTCTCCCCACTGCCCCTTCTGTCACAGTGATGGCTGAAGGATGGATCTCCTCAGAGTGGGACAGTAGAGAAGGAGGAAGATGAGGAACATGGAATAGTGAGTGTCCTGCACATTCCATCCCTGCATCCTGCACCCCTGTCTTCCTATCCCCTCATGCTCCTGTCCCTGTAAACCCAACACCCACTTCCTCCATCCTCAACCCTTCCCCCTTGATTAGCATCCTCTAATCCTCCCAGCTGTCATGTTTCATGTCCTGCCTCCTTCCATCCCTTGCTTTCCCATCCCTACATTTCCCCACCCTCCATTCTTCAATGTCCACCTTCCCACTCCTCCTCTCCATCACTTTCCATGGCTATGCCTGAGCCAGGTGTTTGATGCTGTGATTCTCAAAGTTAAAGAGACATAGCTCTCCTGTCTGCTGCTAGTGGTGGGAACTGTGCTCTCCACTAGGAACAGTGCTGCTTCTGCACCAACAAACCCAGGCTGGTTGAGAGGGCCAAAGACTTTTAACTAAGGACCAGACAGTGATTTAGTGACAGGCATCTTCCTAAGGATGGGCTTTTTTCCCCCTCCACTCTGTCTCCTCCCCTAGATCTCTCCATTCCTCTTTATCTTTAAGTGCCATTTTCACCCTGTCCTTTAAAAGTTTCATACAAGTTCCTCCTGGATCAAATCATGGCCATCACATTACACATGAGGACAATGGCTACCCTTAGGTTAGGGGCTCACTGGGTCTTCTGTCTTCAGTCTGAATTTACTCTCTATAGCCCAGGTCTATTAGCTGTTTGCAAAGATTTCTCCAGGAGAAAATGGTGACAGTCACAGAATCCACTGCAGTAGATTGAACTCCTTTCCTGGTTCATGAAGTCAACCCAACCTTTGCCCCATTAAGCCCTAGGGACAGAGCCTAGCCCCACCTTCATCATCATCCTCCCACAGAAAGTAGACAATGAGAGAATAAACTCCCCTTCCTTTCATCAGCCCTCAGGGTCAGATAAATGACCTTAATGACCAAAAAGAAGAAACTTTAGACAAGCTAAATGCCCCCCCACACACACACTCAGTATAATGATAAGCACACTGCCTGACAGGAGAGGCAACGCAATAGAGAACATCTGCTGACATCATTCACAAAACTATAAAAAAAAAAAAACATCCACTGATAAACCTTCCTCTTCTGCCCTGCAGAGCTCAAGCCCCTACACCTGGACACACAGCCTCCAACCCCAGGAGAGACCAGAGTCCTTCATGTGTTCTGATCACAGGACAATCTGTCCCTATAGATGCTGCTCTGCCCTTTCTTTATTTCCAGCTCTCCTCCATCAATCCTGATCAAACACCCTTTACCAAAGCAGAAACAGCTGTCAGAGACAAGAAAGCCCTGGCCTCCTGTTTGGAGCAACAACAGAAGGGAGAAGTAGGACCAGTGTGAGCTGCACAGCCAAGCATCATCTGAGGTGGTAGAGCCATGTCACCATGGAAGAAGCTCAGTCCAAGAAGGTGGGTGGCACTGAGGAGACTCAGCATAAGGGTCAACAGGCCTTGGACCCCACTGATGACAATTGGGAGCTGCAGAGGATCAAAATTGGGGCAGCGAAGGACTTGATACTAAGTAAGTACAATAAGGACCCCAACCACAACTACTGTGACCCTTCGTCACCACTGAGTCCTCCTGCCAGGTTTCCATGCACATGCTAACCTCTGTCAGAAATACTCACAAGCCCAGGAGAGTCTGGACCCAAGAGGCATGGCAGAAACCCCTAAGGGAAACTTAGCACCCCACCCTCTTCACCAGGAGTGCATCCTCGGGCCCCTGGGGAGGAGCACTCTGAAGCTGGAGTAGTGGGGTGAGACAGGCATTCAGAATGCCCTCTGAGAGGGGTGAGCACAAGTTCAAGCCAGCTCCCAAAAGAAGCGTTTGGTGACACTTGAATTGCAAGCCCAGACTTTAGAGCTGGACAGAGGCAGACTCCAGTCATGGCTCTACCACCTTGGACAAGTCACTTTAGAGCCCTCAGCCTCCATGTCTCCATCTGGGAAACAAGAAGAGGGCAAAAGCCTGTTTCCTTGGGCTGTGGGAGTAAAGTGATAATTCACATTGAATATAAAATAGCACAATATTGAATTAATGTTCCAGAACTGTAAGTACAAGTCCATGCAATTGCTGCTACTGTTATCATTGTAGTTTGCAACTCTGTGGGACAGAAGCTCAGAGCCCCACATGAGGGATCTGAGGCTCACAGAGAAGACTAGAGACTCCCACTGAGGACTAGTGCAGAGACAGGACAGATGTGAGATCCATGGTCCCAGAGCAGGACCATTTCTCAGCAGAAACTCTGAGAGCATCATTCTTCCCACGTGACTGTGAAGAAGGCTGTGAGTGTGAGCAGGGAGAACCCCAGGCTTGCTCCCCTGACTCCTACTTCTGTCTTTCTGACAACCACACAACTGTTTCCTTCCCAGAGCCCATTCTTCTTCATTTCAGGCTCAAGGTGCAGGGGCACTTAACAAGGAGTCCCTCAGCCAGGGCATCTCACCAGAACTACTGGGCTTTGGCCATGAATCTCAGACACTCAGATGAGAAGGAAGGATCTGGTTAAATGGGAACCTCGCCAGTCTGTGTGTAGAAATAAAGAAAAGCTGAGCTGGCAGCTGTGGATGAGACTTCCAGGGCACATAAATGGTAGTTCTTCACCAGTGAGCCCCCACCTGTATGAAGACCTGAAATAAGAGACTTAAATGGAAGGGCAGAGCAACCGTGGTGGAGAGCTGAGAGTCACAGGCTAGAGACGTTCCCTGTGGGCTCTGCAGGGCTGAATTGCATTTGACAGGAGGGAAACCTAGGGGGTCAGCAACGAGCCTAGCCAAACTGGCACCCAGAATTTAGCACAAAATAGTGAGTGGGCACTGAAAATCCCAGGGAGGTCCTGGAACTCTAAGAAGTTCTAATCCCTTAAGATGGACCCTGAAAAGAGGGTGGCTCTTGCCTCATCTTCAGCCAGTGTCTTCTAGTGACTCCCTTATCTCAACTTACCCAGGCCAGCCCCTTGCCTCTTCCTTTTCTCAAGAATCAAAGTAGCCACCTCTCTCCAGTACACAATGTGTAGAGGGAGAGGTTAACTTGTCCAAGCTCACAGCAAATAGGGACAGACACGGGGCTGCAATCTAGAACACTCAGTGCCTGGGAAATCGGTGACTTCCCCTTCATCCTGCTGCTACAGTGCGAAAGTCCTTCCTAATATGTTTCCTTTCAAAGTTCATTCTCCCTACCCCACATTAAGCTTTGGAAACATTCACTACCAAATCAAAAACCATTGCCTTCTGAGGCCACACTGATTTCACTTATTGTGTGACAAGAAAAAGCCATTCCACCATCTGAGGATATTAAAGCTCATCTCACACAGCTTCCTGTTGTCCCCCTCCATCCTGAGCTTCCATGCTCGTGTCTCATTGAGTATCAAAACTGCACTTTAAAGATGCTCACCCCCCTCCTTAGGATGTACTCAGATACTGTCAGCTATCATTTGAAAAATCCGCCTAAGCCCCCAAGACATTTGTCAGAATCTATACCTCATAGACATTATATCCACCTAGAGGTTTTAGATCTAATGCTAAAAAAAAAATCATAAGGCTTCAAAAAATAAGATTACTAGCTGGTCATGGACAAATTCTTATAATCCCAGAACCTGTGAAATTAATGCAGGAGGAGTCTGAGCTCAAGGCCAGCCTGAACTACACCATGAGATCCTATCTATCCCTGTGAGACAGAGAAGCTCAGAGACCCACATGAGGGAGCTGGGGCTCAGAGAGGAATGGAGATTCACACAAGTACAAGAGAACACAGACACAGGTGTGTGAAGATCATGTTCCCAGGGCAGGACTGTTTCCCTGCAGCACCTGTAAGAGCATCCTTCTCTCCAGGAGACTGTGGAGAAGGGTATGATGGTAAGGAGGAAGGACCCCAGCCTTGCCACCCAGCTACTCCTACTGCTGCCTCTCTGACAAGCACACAACAACTTTTCTTCCTATAGCCTGTTCTTCATCATTTCCAGGATATACGAGACCCTACATGGATCCCTTTATTGACGAATACACCTCAACAATACTGAGGTCAGGCCATGAAGATTGGAGATCAATGACAATATCAGGTAAGGGGTTTGTTAAGTGGGCACGTATGAGTCCGGATTCAGAAGCCAAGGTAAGCTGAGCTGACAGCTGTGGATGAGACTCCCAGGGCACATAGATGGTAGTTCTTCACCAGTGAGCCGCCACCTGTATGAAGACCTGAAATAAGAGACTTAAATGGAAGGGCAGAGCAGCCATGGTGGAGAGCCAAGAGTTACAAGCTAGAGATATTCCCTGTGGGCTCTGCAGTGCTGAAGTTGCATTTGACACAAGGGGAACCTGGAACCCGTGGGGATCAGCAGAGAGCCTAGCCCAAGTAGCACCCAGAATTCAGCTCAAAATATGAGTGGGAACTGAGGATCCCAGGAGCCATGCAGGTTCTGAAGCTCCAAGAAGATCTATTCTCTTGAAGTGGACTCCGAAAAGAAGGTAGGCTCCTGCCTCAGCTTCAGCCAGTTTCTTCTACTGACTTCTCTCACATTCACTTACACAGGCCACATCCTTGCCTCGTCCTCTTCTGAATCATCAAAGTAGCCACGTCTCTCCTGTGCACAAAGTCTAGACAGAGAGGTTAATTTGTTCAAGTTCATAGAACATAGAGACATATGCAGGGCTGGAATTTAGGACAATGGGATCCTGAGAAATGATTTCCTCCTCCTTCATCCTGTTGCTGCTCTGTGAAAATCCTGTCCTACCTACACCTAACACTTATCTTTCTCTTCAAAGTCCATTCTTCCCACCTCACATTAGGTTGTAGATGCCTGAGATCAAGAACAAACTGAACTACATAATAAAACCTATTTAAATGTATTAATCCAGGGGTATTAATAATTCATCATGTAATTGTGACAAAAAAGCAATTTAAAGTAGAACATGTTTATGTTGTTTACAGAGCGAGAATTTAGTCTTTCATGACAAAACTCTATAGCTACAGCGACTGAAACATCTGGTCATGTTGTGTTTAGTTGGGAACAGAAGGAGAGGAATGCTTGTTGACGGAGTTTCTGTTCCACCTGGTCCCACAGCCATTTAGCCACAAATAAACACACAGAGTCATATATTAATTATAAACTGTTTAGCTGATGGATTAGGCTTCTTACTGGCTAGCTATTTCTCTTAATTATTAACCCATAACTATTAATCCATGTATTTATACATGGTCTTATCTTACTGGAGAATGTCGGGACCTGTTACTCCTTCGGCAGCTATGCGCCATCTCCTCTGACAGTGTCTCTCCACATCCTCTCCCAGAATTCTCCATGTCTGGTAGCCCTGCCTATACTTCCTGCCTGGCTACTGGCCGATCAGTATTTTATTCATCAACCAATAAGAAAAACATATATACAGAAGAATATCCCCCATCAAATGCTGGTGCTCAGCTCAATTTTTTCTTTTTATTGGGTCTAGGACTCCAGGACTCCAGGCCTTAAATAGTGCCACCCACTATTAAGGTGGGCATACCTCAGTTAACCTAACCTATCCCTACATGTCCTCCCAGGGACATTTCTGCTAGGTGCTTTGTTTCTGTGACATTGACAATACTAGCCCTCATGCCATCTCACAGGATGTAAGTGTCTGAAGCACAACAGGTGTTGGGGAACTGGCCATTTCTTCCCTGTTCTTTCTCACTGGAGAAGCTATACTCACACCTTCACCAAGCCTTTACAGCCACATCCCCAGACCATGAATTTCCAGGCCAGGAATCACCCATCAGAGGGGTTGTCTGAGACTGGGAACCTCCTCCCAACCCCTAGCACAGCATTCCAGCTGGAGGTTGAAATTCACTGCTCAGGTGAGATGAGCTCCTTAAGGTGACACAAAGTTGTGAGAAAGACTCAGTCCCCTGGGGAAATGTGCACAGGCATAGCACCCAAAACCTGGAAGCCCTTGGCACCACCCTAGAAATCCTGCCCCTGGAATCTCACTGCTGGGCAGGGCACTACTACCACCACGTTCTTGGAGTTGAGGACAATGTCTGCTCCAGCCCAAGAACACAGCTGGCTCTCTGGGCAGGGAACTGGCAGACACGAGAATCCCTTAGCACAGGACCCCTCATCACTCACTTCCCATTGGTCACAGGGTCATCAGGTGTTTGCTGAGCACCCACTCATGTGAGCCCCTGTGCTCAGGGCTTCACTCACTTCTCACTTGTGCTTAAACCTCACAAACACTTTTGAGAGGAAGACGGCTACTGTACCTTGGGGACAAGTAGAACAGGGCTTAGAGATGTGAAGACTCACAGTAGAATGTATTCAGTCATTTCACACCTCTGTCTTCCTCTCTCTGACATCAGAGCAACGAGGGCAGCTACTCTAAAGCCAGGGAAGTGCAGGCCTTGAGTGCCAAGGGCCTGACCTTGAGCAATACCGCCTCTCTGCGGTAGACGATGCCACCTTCACAATCTGAGCTACACTTGAAGAAAAGCATTCCTTCTATTGCCAGCTTGCAGTAAGCTTATAGAATCCAGGGCCTTAAAATATGACCCAGGCTTGAAGGACATCAACTGACTTAATCAGTCCCACCACTCCCCATTCAGAACAGGAAGGGAAAAAGAAAAATAGGAAAGACTTGAGGCATCTATAGAAGCATACAAATTAAGTAGCATCTGTGTAATACAGTAACCTTGGAAACAAAAACAGCAACTATGAAGCTATGAGGAGTAAGAAGTCACTGTAACTGAACAGCTCATTGAATTAGAAGTTCCTGGGTGATATGGAAATGGCTTCTCTATTAGATATTATCAATTACAGGATGAATTATAGGACTACACCACCATGCCCAGTGGTTTTGGTTTTTGTTGTTTATTTAGAACATGTATATTAAATTATAGTTCTGGAGTCTGGAAGTCCAAGTAGAGACTATGACTGCTCAGCTTAAAAAAAAAAAAAAATAAAAAAAAAAAAAAAAAAAAAAAAAAAAAAAAAAAAAAAAAACTAGGCTTATACCGTGTGGCCAGCAACATTAGCTAGCGCTCGCTAACTAAAAGGAAAGCAACAGACTACAAGAGACTGAACTATATCTGCCCCTATTTCCAGCAGACTCATACTCAAATTTTGCTCACAAAAATATCTGGGAAGATTTTATTAGTCTTTTTTAAAGCTAATACAAAATTATAGCAAAAAAAAAAAAGGAACCTGAACGTTAGTAACACAGCTGGAACAATCCTGATGGGAGCAGTGAAAGAAGAGATTTAATTTAGTTGATTTTCTGTGGTTGTTGGTTGTTCACTAGACTCATGGTGATGGAAGCTGCACGCTTTTCCAAAGGGACCGGGAAACTGCAAGAGGTCTGGTTCTCCAGGCAGCATTCTGACACAAGCCAGGGGATCTGGGGATCTTGGCACCATCTCGAGATCTGTGTGGGATCCTTTTGATGGATGTGCAATGCTCAATCATACATCTGACAAAGACTGACAAGAAGGAAACATGTTTGTCTCCAAGAGATGTTTCTTTATGAAGAGATGTGGTGCCACCCAGTTACTGAAAGCACTGGCTCCCCCACTGAAACTTGCTAGGGATTACAGTAGGTTTGACTCGATTCAAAGCTTCTTTTATTCTCTTAAGAATTTCATGAAGCCTTCTCACCAAGGGTACTCACACAGAAATTTCCAGGAAGAAATCAAGTTTCTTAATGCAGTTTTTCCAAATGGAGCATCATGTTGTATGGGACATACAAATTCTGGCTGTTGGTACTGGTATACTTAGCATTTCCCAGAGAACCAAGTAATCAATCAGCCAGATCAAACCCTGGCAATTCTGATGAGTGAGCTTGACCCAGCAATTATGCACCAGTTCTACATGAAAGATGGCGTGACTGCAAAGATGTCACTCATGAGAGTGGAATTCATGATCCCATACCAAGCTCTGTCATGGATGCCACACTGTTCAATCCTTGTGGCTACTCAGTGAATGGAATGAGATCACATGGGACATATTGGCCTATTCACATCACTCCAGAACCAGAATTCTCTTATGTTAGCATTGAAACAAACCTAAGAAGGACTTCCTATGATGACCTGATCAAAAAGGTTGTGGAAGTCTTCGAGCCAGGAAAATTTGTGACCACCTTGTTTGTTAATCAGAGTTCTAAGTGTCAAACAGTGCTTTCTTCACCCCCAGAAGAGTAAAGGTTTTAAACATCTTGATTGCCAGAGTGCTATGTTCAATGATTATAATTTTGTTTTTACCAGTTTTGCTGAGAAGCAGCAACAACAGCAGAGTTGATTAAGGAAAATGGAGAAGAGGCTGGAGAGATGGCTCAGGAGTTAGGAGCACTGCCTGTTCTTCCAGAGGTCCTGAGATCAATTCCCAGCAACCATATGGTGGCTCCCAACCATCTGTAATGTAGTCTGGTGCCCTCTTCTGAACTGCAGGGACACATGCAGGCAGAACACTGTATACATAATAAATAAATAAATAAATCTTTTAAAAAAGAAAAGAAAATGGAGAAGAAAAATGCAAAAAGAGAAAACACACAGAAGGTGCTGGCTGCTTTCTAGATGTTGATAGCGGGGGCCACGTTCTTCATAACCACTACCATGTGGTTGCAGAAAGCCCTGGGTGCAATCATTTTGAAGTGTATGCGTTATTTTATCAAGGAGTTAGATATCTTGCATGAATGTTCTCTTCTGTGTTTAGGTGTTCTAGGCCACCCTTGCTGTGGAATTGAAGTGCATGTAAAAAAGAACTTTGATTGCATGAATCTTTTTAATACTTGTGAAAATGATTCAGTTTCTTTTATGTACAGTGTAATACTGTACAAAATCCCCCACAGACAGGGCTTTTGTCCTCATTAGATGCTGGCCTCAGCCGACCAGATGCAACTGTTTTATTAAATTGCTGCTGGAGTTTTTACATCTTTACCTCCACTTTCTAGAGTATATTCTCTACCAATGTTTTTCAAAACCAATTTTTACTTCTTATAGGTATTTTGTTTTGGTTTGGTTTGGTTTTTCGAAACAGGGTTTCTCAGTGTAGCTTTGGAGCCTATCCTGGCACTTGCTCTGGAGACCAGGCTGGCCTCGAACTCACAGAGATCCGACTCTCTCTGCCTCCCGAGTGCTGGGATTAAAGTTATGCACCACCAACCCCCGACTCATATAGGTGTTTTATGCAATGGTGATTAAAGGTTTTCTTCCATAAGCTGAGTCCTTGCAAGAAAATGCTGATTCCAGTTACTGTTTTGTGTGCTACCATTTTAATAGTTGTTCCTGCATTCATAATTCAATGACTGACTTTTTTTCTCTCACCAACTGTGTCCTTCCCTCTCCCCTTATCTCATCACCCCCCCCCCATTAAATCAATACACTGTTACACTGGGCTTACATAATAATCTTGTACCCCAGCTAGAGGGATTTTGATGATGGTCCCTGGCTTAATTTTTTTTTTAAGATACAAGTATGTGATCTCCTTATTGGCATGAACTGTGAAATGAAGGTGAAGCATTATAATGAGTTCACAGGCCCGAGATGAATGATAATTAGGTGTTTATTGGTGTTAGTGTTTCACAGATAACAGCCAAGTAACTACTCAAAGGATACAGACCTTGCCTCCCCGATGCTATCTGCAAGGGTCTTCCTTCCCCACTCCTCTACCTTAAACCGGTCCGGTCCACACCTGTAAAAATGCCCAAAGGGCATGGACACTAGTTCACAGGCAAGATACTACTACAGTGAAAAATAAATGACAAAACTGAATGTATCAAATAAAAAGAATTCAGTCTCCAGGGATAATTAGCAGGGAGAACCCATTTAAAAAAAAATTCATGGAAACAGTAGGCTATGCAGTGCACTTTAATTAACTTTAATGGAGTGCCTGCCATGCTTTCACTAACTTATTAATTAGTGAGTGACAGGAGGAAGTCCACTAAGTCAAAGCAAATATTTGATCCTGCACATTCTGACCCCAGTATATGCAATAAACACTTAACCTATTGCCACCAATTTCTACTAATGGAAATTTTGACTCCAAGGAGAATATGTGGAGTTTCCGTCTGTGACTTAGAAGTTGCATAGGTTTTATTTGGGTTTTTGTTTTTTGTTTTTTGTTTTGGTTTTGGTTTTGGTTTTGGTTTTTGGAGACAGGGTTTCCCTGTGGCTTTGGAGGCTGTCCTGGAACTAGCTCTTGTAGACCAGGCTGGTCTCGAACTCACAGAGATCTGCCTGCCTCTGCCTCCCAAGTGCTGGGATTAAAGGCGTGCGCCACCAACGCCCTGCAGAAGTTGCATATTTTTTGTGATGCATGTGAGCTGTTCTGACTTCACCTGTTCCTGTGTGGCCTTCTTTTACAGGGTGTTCACATAATCCAATGAATGACTGCCCAGAGTGAGGACTCTCTGGGTTACTCAGCCAGGTGTTAATGTTCATACATCACAAAACAACACAATGTTCTGAAATAGTTAAGGGGACTAGAATTACAGGCTTTCAAGGATCGTCATGTTCATGGCATTTGCAGATATTGTGGGATCTAAACAGCGGGAAGAAGAGCAAAACAGACTGAATTTCCTATTGCCCTTGTACTGTTTTCTTGGTAGTTTCTGGACTGATCAGTGATGTTTTGTTCCTTCTGTATTTACAGTGAAATAAATTGTAAGTTAGCATTTCTAAACATAGAACCTACTTGGTTTGGAATCAAGTGGTTGGAACACTGGATCTTTACTTTAAGCATGCTACTGATTGGACGCTTCTCCGGAGAAGCCTCCAGTCAGCTTTATCTGTTTGATTCTGTACTGAGCACAACACCTAAGTTTCAAACTGCCATTTGGAGGAACAGTGCTTATTTAAGCTGGTTTTTGTAACAAACATTTATAATTATCTGGTGTGTGGGTGAAGGCCATTCAAGATTATTATAGGTCAAGTGACGATTTAAACGAGAGCCTTCTATTCTAAAGCTCTCATTATTTGCACTGCACTGTTCAGGATATCCCAGCACCCACAATCAGTCTGTGGTACAGCTTAGACAGATGCCTAAATTCATCCAGCCATTGAAGGGTGGAAGTAAAAAAGAAAGGAAAGAATCAAAGAACAAACAACTCTACTGCGTACACTTATGTTCCACCTTTCTTCCCTAATCTATGATTCATTTCAGACAGGTATCACATTGAAATAAGAGAGAATCTTTACCACACTGAGTCCTGGAAGACAAAGGATTTGCTCCAAAATTTCACAAAGCTACTACTTCTGCAAAAATCCTATCCAAGAAGGTGGGAGACCTTGGTCAGGAAAAGCTGGCATAAAAGTAAAGGAGAGGAGAGAGGGCATCTGATTGAAATCCAAGACTTATTTCACCCAATTCCAGACACCCAGGAAGAGCCTCAGCTAGTCATATTAGAGGGAGCTGCTGGGATTGGGAAGTCCATGTTGGCCAGGCAGGTGAGGAGAGCATGGGGGGAAGGCCAGCTCTACAGGGATCACTTCCAGCATGTCTTCTACCTCAGCTGCAGAGAGCTGGCCCAGTGCAAGCAGCTGAGTCTGGCTGAACTCATAGCCAAAGACCAGGCTGTGCCCTCAGCTCCCATCAGGCAGATCCTGTCCCACCCTGAGAAGCTGCTCTTCATCCTGGATGGCATAGATGAGCCAGCGTGGGTCTTGGAGATGCAGAATCCTGAGCTCTGTCTGCACTGGAGCCAGCCACAGCCAGTGCCTATGCTGCTGGGCAGTTTGCTGGGAAAATCCATTCTGCCTGGTGCTTCCTTGCTGCTCACAGCTCGGATCACAGATCTAAGGAAGTTCATTCCTTCTTTGAGGCAGCCACGTTGGGTGGAAGTCCTGGGTTTCTCTAAGTCTGGACGGAAGAAATATATCTACAAATATTTCACAAAGAAAAGAGAGGCAATTGCAGCTGTTAGCTTGGTTAAATCAAACCCAGTGCTCTCAACACTGTGCATGATTCCCTGGGTGTCCTGGCTGGTCTGCACTTGCCTGAAGCAGCAGATGGAGCAAGGGGGAGACCTCTCACTGACCTCACAGACCACCACAACCCTCTGCCTAGAATACCTTTCCCAGACTCTTCAAGGTCGTGCCCTAGGAACCCGTCTTAGAGAGCTGTGCTCACTGGCTGCTGAGGGGATCTGGAGAAGAAGGACCCTGTTCAGGGAAATAGATCTTCAGATCCGAGGGTTAACTAAGGATGTCATTGCCTCTTTCCTGGTGATGGGTATCCTGCAAAAGCATCCTCGGTCTCGGAGTTACAGCTTTGCCCACTTGTGTCTCCAGGAGTTCTTTGCAACCATGTCCTACATTTTGCGTTATGAGAGAAGTGGTTATGTGGGAAATATTGTAGGACGACTGAAGGAATTATATGGAAGACATGACTTGTGCGAGGCACCTACCATGGTCTTTCTATTTGGTCTTTTGAGTAAACAGGGAATTAGAGAAATAGAGAAGATCTTTACCTGCAAGTTGAGTTGGGAAGCAAAGTTGTACCTGCGGTGGCACATCCTAGAGGAAACCCTTTGCCATCAACCATATTCTCTGCGTTTACTCCATTGTCTGTATGAGATCCAGGATAAGGAGGTCCTGACAGAAGTGATGCACAATTATGAAGGAGCAAATGTGCATGTCCCAGTGGATATGGGACACCCAGTGTTCCAGACAAATGTGAAGCACCTGGTGGTCCAGACAGACGTGGACCTCATGGTGGTCACTTTCTGCATTAAGTTCTGCCTCCATGTGAAGAGGCTTCAGATGAATGGTTGCGAACAGCAGGGACCAATGCTGACGGCCCCCACGATGGTTCTGTGAGTATCCAGACACAGCCCTCTCTCCAGCTTCCTTGTGGACTCCATGAGCACACATGTTCTCAGCACCAGCAGCACTCTTAGCTTGATCCAGGGCAGCAGGATACAGGTCACCAGTGCCATCTGACTGCTGAATCTGACCATCTTTCTCTACTTGCCTCTGTGTGCTATGCATTGGGGCTATGAGCTTTTATCTCTCCCTGTGTCTCAGTGAGGACCACCCACCTGCTTTGATTCAAATCTTCACACTTCACAAGGTTCAAATGGCCCACAATTACTGGTACTCTCTCTTAGCATATTTTATCTATGAGAAACCACTCATTCAGCTCCTGCACTCACCATCCCATATCCCCAATGACAGTGACCTTATCCCTAAGGTCTTCCTGCTAACACCTCAGGAGGCATATGTGTGACTGTCCTAATATTTTCCCTGCCCAGATGACTTCCTTGTATGTGTCAATGAAAATGACATGTCCCTGGCGCTCCACCTAAAGGATTCCTAACTTCCCATCAATCTCAGTGCCAGTGTAAATCTCTCCTTCCAGGTTTTCCCTACCACTGTGCAGAAGTGGTGACCCAGTATCAGTGTGTGTCTCTCCTCTCTAGATGATTCATTAAGCACTGATTTTATGTCAAGCCCTGCCAATCAATCACAAGAGGAAAACTTCAGTTGCTGCCCTGAGGATTTCAACACTAGGAGAGAATACAGCCACATACTCTAATTACACAGGACATGACTCATACTTGAGGACTTTGTCACCAATCTGAACACAGCAAGAGCCCATGTGAAAAACAAATAACTTAAAAGTAGTGGATCAAAGGTTAGAGAACAGGAAGAGGATGGGGAGAGGAGGGAGAATGAATCAAGGCTGTCTTCTCAGGTTACTAAAGAGAACAAATGTAATCAAGCTGTGTTTCACACATACAGGAAGTGATCTAAATGACTCTCATTTTAAATTAATAGGATGGACTAATAAAAACATGCTTGCTATAGAAGAGTGAGGATTTATCAATTATCAAAACAACAAAAATAAATATCCTCCAGAATTCCATTCCTCAGAGAGGACAACAATAAGAATTGGGATAGATGAGCTTGGTCATGCACACCTGTCTTCCCAAACTCAGAAGTCTGAGACAAGGAAGGAAGTCCCAGGCCAGCCTGGGCTACATAGTGTGACACTGTCTCAAAATATCAGGAACTAAGGATGTTACTCATTTGGTAGAGAGATTGCCTTGTGTGCCGGTTAATTTTCTTTTGCTGTGATAAAACACAATGGCCAAGGCAACTTACAGAAGAGTTTATTTGGCCTTATGTTCCAGAGGGATCAGGGTCCATTATGGCAGAGGGAAAGGATGTGACTGGAGCAGCAGCTGAGAGCTCATTCTAGAACCACAGGCAGGAAGCAGAAAGAGTGCACTGGAAATGGCTCAAGTCTTTGAAATCGTAAATCCTACCCTCAGTGACTTATTTCCTCCCACAAAGCCACATCTCCTAAGCCTCGCCAAAGAGTGCCACCACTTGAGGACCAAGCATTCAAATGCCCATGACTGGGTAACATCTCATTCAAAACACCACACCTAATAAGCCCAAGACCCTAGGTTTTACCCACAGCATGAAAGAAAAAATGCAATATTCCCTTTAATCTTTTCTCTATATACCTTAATATGAGAACACTGAGTCATAAACCTCTTTTATCTTATATTCACATTTATTTTCTTAATGAATCAAGGCTGTCTTCTCAGGTTACTAAAGGTCTAGTACGATACCATTCTAAATAGCTTTCTGATATTGCCTAAGGAGAGTACCTTGGTGAATTGGATCATTTTTCTGTTCTTGGCCAGTATAAGTTGTTTCTTGGTGTCTATGGTTACAATAGAAAAGTGAGCTTTGAAGGGTCTTGATACAGATGTTGCAAGTAGAGTGGTCTGCTTTGGAGCTTCAAAAGAATTCTGAGTAAGCACAAAGACCAGTTAGGGCAAGAAAAACAAGGAACACAAGTTTGCTTGCAGATGACAGTAGCCTCAGGAGCCTGGGGTCAACCCCATGGAAAAAAGGAAAGGCATTGACTGCCAGTGGGAAAGTAAAATTGAGGGGCAAAGTCAGACAAGGCAGGGACATCCGAAAGGAGGCCATTGCACACAAGGAAAATGAGTGGACCTTGGCCAAAGTCAAGGAATCAAAAATGGCAAGATGAGCAACTTCTGTATGTGTGGCTCATAATGGCGCCTCATGTTCTTTGAATAGCACATTCTGTAGTTCCATTTTCAGTCAGTGCAAATACTAAACATGTATCAAAACTGCCATCCTTTGAAAGCTCTGCAGGTGGTTCAGCATTTGAGACCACTTGCCGCTCTTTCACACAGATGGATCACAACCACTGTCAACTACTGTCCCAGAGGATCCAATGCCCTGCTTCTAGCCTCTGCAGGCTTCTACACACATGTAACGCACACAGAGAAGCAGCATACAAACACACATATAAAGTAAAGAATAAATGAAGCTTTTTAAAGGGTTAGCATTTGGTTTCTTTAACATTCTTTGATTTTGCAAAGTTAAAACATCATATACTTTCTGTTTCAGCCAAGGTTGGCCATTTCTAATCTATGTTTTGAGTGTGTTTCATTGTTTTGTTTGGAGTGTTTAGGATCAAATGTTGCACACACCAGGCGTAAAGTTACTTCCAGCCCCTTCAGATTTGTAGCTTAGGCTGGCCTAGAATTCACTGTTCACCTGCCTTTGTATACTTCATTTCTAGCATTAAAGGAATGCGTTATCTGTATGAGTGTCCCTGACTGTCTGCCTTTGTCTCTCTGTGTATATCTGTCAATTTACTTCTCTGTCTCCTCTGCCTCTCTCTGTCTCCTTGTGTGTCTCTGTCTCTCCATGTCTCTACCTATCTCTCCACTCCCCATCCTCTTGAAAAGACATAGGGGACATGTGAATCAACATATCTGTGGTGTTTATAGCCATGTTTATAATCGTGCTCAACATCCCATCACACAGTTGTCCTCAACCCCTTCTCCCAAGTTCTCTTCCCATCTCCCCTTTCCAGTTTTCTTTTATGAGACTCTAGAATTGTGTTCCAAAGAAGAGCAGGTACATTCACATAAAAAGGGAAGACGGCTACCTGAATTACCAGGCCCTGTGCTGGACACTATCGACTAAAAAGAAAATATGTCATTCACCGGTTCACACCCTGTGGGACACCTAGACTGAGTCAGAAAGAAACACACAAAATAAACACACAGCATGCTATGGTAAGGATTTAGATGAGGAACCACCCAGAGGAGAGGATCCAGATATTGGAACATAGAAGCTGGTGAATCCTGGGGATGGCATATGCAGGCCTGGTGCTCAGGCAATAGAAACCTAGTCTCTGTTGTGTGGGGCTGTGCACCTCAGACCATGCACACATGATTCATTTCCCTCATACCTTCTCTCTCTCTCTCTCTCTCTCTCTCTCTCCTTCTCTCTGTTTCTGTCTGTCTCCCTCAGGTCCAGGTGGACCCCAATCACTAATGCCAGTTGGCAGGTTCTCTTTTCCACTCTTGAGTTCACAGGAAGCCTGGAGGAGCTGGACCTAAGTGGAAACCTACTGAGCTGCTTTGCACTGCGGAATCTCTGTAGGACCCTGAGATACCCTGGATGCCATGTAAAGACACTGTGGTGAGTCTACACATGATGGGTTTTCTCCTGAAGTAGGGATGGATGGCAGGAAAGCAAAGGCAAAAGCTAGTCTAAGGTGAGGCTTGGTATTCATCAAATATTCACCAAACCCTCTTGATCACACCTGTAACAGAGGTCAGAATGTTATGATAAACAAATGGATTCTGTTCTTGGGGATCATGAGAGACCGACATACAACAAAGAGCCCCACTCGCTAACAACAGACTCATGAGGTGTCCAGTGGAGGAAACTTCCTGAGGAAGGGACTGACTAGGAGAGCTGAAGAACACAGAGACAAAGTGAATCCTGGGGGCAGAAGCTCCCGTCCCAGGGAATGACATCTCCCCATTTCCTCCTTCTCTCTGCTCTTGTAACCAGCCTTCTACTCTGTTTCTATAGAGGTCATCTTTACTAAAATTTCACATGACAAGTGAGATCATGTCCTATTCTATGGCTGATGAATGTCACTTCAGATGGCTCTTGAAATAGACCAGTGAACTGTCCTGGGCCTCGTGGAGCTCTGCCATGGCCAGTCAGCAGAGCCATGGTCCTCAAGCTGTATTCCACTGGTACTGCTGCTAGGCTGTGGGGAGCATGGAATTATCCACCCAGACTAGAAAAGGCACTCCAGAGAGCTAAGCACTGCTAATACAGCATGCCAGGGCTCACAAAGGGAGACCTGAGCTCAGTTCCCAAGAGCAGTGAGCTCTGGAGAAGCTGATGGTGAGCATCTCCCACGCAGGCTTGTCAACTGTGGCCTCACATCCAGACACTGTGAGGACCTGACCTCAGTGCTCAAGGCCAGCTCCAGCCTGACTGAGCTCGACCTGCAGCTAAATGACCTGGGTGACCGTGGGGTGAAGCTGCTGTGTGAGGGGCTCAGGAATCCTGCCTGTAAACTCACAATCCTGAGGTAAGTAAGACCCAGGAATTCCCTCTGGGGAGGAGGCAAGGGAAGGGCCACAGGTGTGTTACTGGATGACAAGACATAACAAAAGGGGACAGATAATACATGAATAGCCTGACTCCTGACCAGCGGTGCCACTTACGCCCTAAGACTTGGGTAAGTCGCTTTCTTCTCTAGAACTCAGTCTCCTCATCTATCAAATGGAATGTCACACCCACCTCATGGATAGTAATGACACAACATATACATTTGTAAAAACAAAAATGATACCAGGAGGTAGCTGGGCATTGTACAATCATTTGCATTAGCAAGGCTATTATCCTAACAGACTCCCAGGTTTGCCTTACTCCAGGACAGTGCTTCAAACATTCATGAATCCATACATGCATTCACATTAGGCCCCTGGTCCAAACCCCAGGGAAACAATCAAATACCCATGGCTCTCTCCTCCTGAAGCTGTGTGGAAATAGAAAGACATAGGTCACCTGTGAGCTGTGATTCAGTATTGACAAGCTCTGCTGAGTGCTGTGGAGTCGACAGTATAGTGAGAATGCAATGCTGTGAGGGGGCCTGCTTTATTGAATGGCCCAGGGGGCTTCTCCAAGGTCTGATAGAGAAACAGGGCTTGGTTGGGCCAACCTGGAGACAGTAGCCCAGGAAAAGGCAGAGTTGGAGAAAGCTCTGGAACAGAAAGTGGCTGGAGCCTTGGATGGGCATGGGATTTCACTAAAGGAGCTTGTGGAAATACTCTGTCCAGAATTCCTAATGGGGATAGGGCCATGACCTCCAGCCACTAGGAATACTGGTAGCTACTCTGTGGCTCTTTGTCAACCTGAATCCCCTCATCTATTGTCATGTTACCTTTCCTAGGACAGTCTGTTTCCAATGACTGGCCTGTGTGGTGGGATGTAAAGGGCCACCCCTCATTTCAGTTCTGGAAAGTTCCAAAGGTCTTCACCCAGGATTCAGATCATCCTGCACATGACTGTGCCATGGACACATCTCCCTCTGCTCAGCCTGCTGCTCTCCATCCTTTGTCCTGGTTTTGGCTCAAGAATAAGCCTTAATAAGGCTCCTCACTGGCTCCATATACAGACAACAGAGTCCAGGATCCTGGACCCTGAAGCCTCATGATCTTGTGGTGGATCCCAGAATAAGCAGCCCTTTCTTGTGCTTGCAGGCTGGACCAGGCTCCTCTCAGTGACCAGGTGATAATGGAGCTCAGGACCCTGGAGACAGAGAATCCACAGCTGCTCATCTCCAGCATATGGTAAGGGTGGACACAGAACTCCTACTGGTCAACCCAGGCTCTATGTGGCTGCTCCAGAGCTGAGATGGGAAACGGGTCCTGAGGTGATAGGAAAGACACACAGAACCAGGAAGAAACCAGGGAACCACAGTAACCAAAGTGAGGAAAGGTTCTGTGTGTTGGGAGATTGTATGATTTTTTTCCTTTTTTAATAAAAATAGAATCATATAACATGCCTATATAAGTTCTTCCACATAAAAAAAAAACAGTATATGAAAGGTGAGTTAGTGGTTAGTCCTCTGGGTACAGCAAGTGTGACAATGGTAGCCACCAGGAAACCCAAACCACCGGGACAATGAAAACAGAACCACACTTAAGAAAGACACAGTAAAACTCTTAGAGAACAAAAACCATTATGGGTATCACTGTCCCAACTCTAATGTGTACATACACACAGGATTATGTGCATCACACACCCACACCCACACACACACACACACACACACACACACACACACACACACTGTACTATGGGATATAAAGCCTCAGGACAGGAAAGTTATTTTCCAACTCTAGGGACTGTGCTGAAGCCCATGTTCTCACAAGTTAGTCAATTTCAGTTCATGACCATGAATTTCTTCTGCCCTTAGCTTCCTAGCTGTCATGCCACATGTTAAACCAAGGGTTCTATAGATATAGGATGGCTATCCATTCACTGATTGAACATTTTTGCAAGACCCACTGTGCATCATACACTATTTTCGGATCTGAGGGCACATCAGTGAACAAGGAAGACATGGCCCATAATTTGCTATCACTGTATACCAGCAGAGGGGATACTTGTGTACCCAAAGTCCATGGAATTGTACCAGAGAACCCTAAGAGTGAGGCGGTGGTCTTTCTTACCTCATCCAAAGCTGAGGTGAGCTCTCAAATGAGAACTGTGTGGTTGATGCAAGAAGAAGAAATTTCCAGGCAGAGGTAGAGGATGAGGAAGCAGAGAGAGCAGCTCCACTGAGGGACAGGAAACCAGAACAGATCATCTGTTCTCCCTCGCCATCACCATCACATCCACAGAAATGCAGGTTCTCAGGCCCCACTTAATCCCTGGTGACTCAGAATCTCTAATGGAACAGCTTCCTTCACTGAGCTTTCTGATTTAGCAGGCCATCCAAGTGACATTTTAACACAATGATTTGAGAGCCACTAGTATAGATTTGAGCAGGAAAGGGTGACACAGGAGGGCCTGGCGGATGATAGGAGTCACAGAAAGAACTATGAACTTTCTGTTTCTCCCCAGAGGAAATGAGAGGCATTCCATCACCTTAGCCATGAAGGGCATCTCCACCCATTTTTTATGGTCAGAGGATGCTGCAGTGATTCAAGACACTGCTTGCTCCATTCTGGGACAAGGATAAAATCTGCAGAGGGAGAGAGTATAGAACAGAAAGTAGAGAAATTAGAAATTACAAGGTACTGTATAGGTGATTGGAATTTAGGGTGAGTGATTATTTATTTTGTGCAGCTATAACACATTGACAGTAGACACTTAATAAAAAGAATTGAGATTATTTCTTTCTGGGTACAGGGAAGGGCCAAGGCAGGGATCCTGCTTCTAGAGAAGCCCATCTTCCTGTTCCATCTGATTGGGCAGCAGGGAAGGCTGAGAGTGTGAAGCCCAGCAGTCTTTAATGACGAGTCCTGTCGGGCCACAGGAATCCACTCCTGTGATGATGACATTAATCCCTTCATGAAAGCAGAACATTCATGACCTCATTGAGTCTTATCCTGCATCCTATCAGCACTGTGACATTGGGGGTTAACTTTCTAGTGAGTAAACATTGGGGAGCACATTCAAATTAAAGCAAAGAAAAAGTTGAGATGAACTTGTTGAGGCAACATTGATGTCCAGGAAGACAGGGGCCTTCACGGAGTTCTGTTTTAGGGAAGCAGCATGGGACTGAGTTCAAATTCAGATGAGTTGGATTTTATGTCAGAATATCATGTACACAGTCCTGTTTTCCTGTTTCTCCTGACATCTGAGGGAAAAAAAAAATCTGTGTCTAGGAAGCCCCATGTGATGGTCCCTACTAAGAACCCAGATGGAGAAGAAATGGGTGATAGCCTGACTTCATTCAAGCATCAGAGACTACAGTCAGGTATGTGAAGGGTTCAGACCCAGAACTTCATGAGTCTATACTATAGGATGAAGGAGAATCTTCATCATCATTTCTCTCTTTTTATATAAAATCATTTTATTTCTTTCTTTTTATTTATTTGTTTCTTTTTACATTCCAACCAAAGTTTCTCCTGGCTCCTCTCTTCAAAGTTCCTTACCCCCATCTTTTCCCTTCCACCACTCTGTTTGCTCCTCCTCCACTGTTTCTCTTCAGTTACATATAGGCAGGCGTCCCATGGATATCAGACAGTCATAGTATATCAAGTTGCAGTGAGACTAGGCACCTCTTTTTTAGTAGGGCTAGATGAGGCAATTTGGTAGGAGGAATGGGTTCCAACAGCAGCCAACCAAGTCAAAGACAGACCCTGCTCTCACGGTTAGGAATCTCACACAAAGACCAAGTTACACAGCTGTTATATAGAGAGAAATGGCCTAGTACAGCCCCATGCAGGCTCCCTAGTTGTCTGTTCAGTCTCTGTGAGCCTCTATGGACCCAGGATAGTTGGTTCTTTGAGTTTCTTTGTGGGTCTTACAATCCTTCCTCCTCTTCTTCTGCAGGATTCCCTGAGCTTGGTCTAATGTTTGGCTGTGGTTCTCTGCATCTGTTCCCATAAGTTGCTAGATGAAGCCTCTCTGATCACAGTTGGGCTAGGCACAAAACTATATCATTAGGAATAATTTTATTGGCATTTTTGCCATTTGTGTTTGGTCCTATCCTAGGTCTTTGGGGTATCCCACTTCTGGTTCTTGGCCCTCAGTAGGGAGCTCCCTTTCAGGGTACAGGTCTCCAGTTGTGCCAGTCATTAGTTGATCACTCCCGATGTTTCTGTACCATTTTTACTCCAACACAGCTTGTAGGCAGGACAAATTGTAAGTCAAAGGGTTTGTGGCTGGCTTGGTGTCCCAGGCCCTTCACTGGAAGTCTTGCTTGGTTACAAGAGATGGCTGATTCAGGCTCCTATCCCCTGTTGCTAGGAGTCTTAGCTAATGTCACCCTCATGGAGTTGCTTTAGGTTTCTAGGTCATCCCAGACAAGTCACCAGATTCCAGTTGTCTCTCCCAGTACTGTCTTCCTCCATCTTTCTCCCAACTTATTCCTCCTGTTCCCATTCCTATCCCCCTTACAGGTACCTCCTGCCACCCACTAGCAATGTGCATTCTATTTCCCCTTCACAGGAAGATTGATACACGCCCCCCAACTTGAGCCCTCCTTATTATTTTGTTTCTCTGGGTCTTTGGGTTGTAGCATGGTTCTCCTTTACTTTGCAGCTAATATTCACTTACAAGTGAGTACATACTATATATGTCTTCCTGGGTCTGGATTAGATCACTCAGGATTGTCTTTTTTTTAGTTCCATCGTTTGCCAGCAAGTTTCCTGATGACTGTTTTTAGCAGCTGTGTAATATTCCACTGGGTAATTGTACCACATTTTCTTTATTCATTCTTTTGAAGGACATCTAGATTGTTTCCAGTTTCTGACTACTGTGAATAAAGCTACTATGAACATTGTTGATAAAGTGTCCTTGTGGTATGGTGGCGTGTCCTTAAGGTATATGCCCAAGAGTGGTATAGCTGGGTCTTGAGGTAGATTGATTCTCAGTTTCTGAGAAACCACCATACTGATTTCCAAAATGGCTGTACCAGTTTGCACTCCCACCAGCAGTGGAGGAGGACTCCCCTTGTTCCACATCCTCTCCAACATAAACTGTCAATTGTGTCTTTGATCTTAGCCATTCTAACAGGAATAAAAGGGAATCTCGGTGTCATCTTGATTTTTGTTTCCCTGATGGCTAAGGATATCTTTGTTTCTCAGCCACTTGAGAGTCCTCTGTTGAGAATTCTCTGTCTACATCTGTGTCCCATTTTTAATTGGATTATTTAGTCTGTTGATATATAGTTTCTTGAGTTCTTTATATATTTTGGATATATAAAGAGTGGAATTTGAGGGGCTGGAGAGATGGCTCAAAGGTTAAGAGCACTGACTGCTCTTCCAGAGGTCCTGAGTTCAATTCCCAGCAACCACATGGTGGCTCACAACCATCCATTACGAGATCTGGTGCCCTCTTCTGGTGTGCAGATATACATGGAAGCAGAATGTTGTATACATAATAAATAAATAAAATCTTAAAAAAAAGAGTGGAGTTTGATAAGTGATTTAAGCTTCAGCAATGTTTTTGTTTTACAAATGTAAATGCCCTGGCATTGGGGGCATAGTTGTTCAAAATTGAGATGTCATCCTGGTAGATTTTTTTCTTTAATAAGTATGAAATTTCTTTCTCCATCTCTTTTGATAATTTTGGTTTGAAGTGTATTTTGTTTGATATTAGGACAGCTACATGTTAATGTCTATCTTTGATGTTGAGTTGTGTTTCTTGTATGCAGCACAAAGATGGATCCTGTTTTCATATTCATTCTGTTAGCCTGCGTCTTTTTATTGGCAAATTATGTCCATTGATATTGAGAGATATTAATGACCACCAATTGTTAACTCCTGTTATTATGTTGTTGCTGTTGGTGGTGGTGGTGGTGCTGGTGGTGGCTGTGGTGGTAGTGGTGGTGGTAGCAGTGGTGTGTGGGAGGGGTGTGGGTGTGGGTGTTTCTCTTCTTTAGGTTTTTTGGTGTGACATTATCTATTGCCTGGGTTTTCATGGGTGTATTTAACTTCCTCGGATTGGAGTTTTCCTTCTAGTGCCTTCTGTAGGGCTGGATTGCTGTATAGATATTGTTTAATATCTTGTTTCATCCATCTATAGTGATTGACAGTTTTGCTGGGTATATTAGTCTTGGTTGGTATCCATGGTCTCTCAAAGTCTGCAAGACATCTGTCCAGGCCCTTCTGGCTTTTGGAATCTCTGTTGAGAAGTCAGGTGTAATTCTTATATGTCTGCCTTGGTATGTTTTTGATCTTTTCCCTTGGAGCTTTTAATATTCTTTCTTTGTTCTGATTGTTTTGTGTTTTGATTATTATGTGACACGGGGACTTCCTTTTCTGATTGAATTTATTTGATGTTCTATGGGCTTCTTGTACCTTCATAGGCATGTCCTTGCTTAGGTTAGCAAAATTTTCTTCTATTATTTTGTTAATTATAGTTCCTGGGGTTTTGTGCTGAGATTCTTCTCCTTCTATTCCTATTATTCTTAAGTTTGGTCTTTTCATGGTGTCCCAGATTTTCTGGATGTTTTGTGCTAAGAGTATTTTTAGATTTAACATTTTCTTTGAACAATAAATCCATTTCTTCTATTTTATCATCAGTGCCTGAGATTCTCTCTTCCATCTCTTGTATTCTGTTGGTAATGCTTGCATCTGTAGTTCCTGTTCACTTACCCAGATTTTCCATTTCCTGAATTCCCTCAGTTTATGTTTTCTTTGTTGCTTCTATTTCAATTTTCATGCCATGAACAGTTTCCTTCACCTGATTGTTTTTTTCTTGGCTTTCTTGGCATTTTTGAGGGATTTGTTAATTTCCTCTAATTTTTGGTTGTCTTTTCCTCCATTTCCTTAAGGGACTTTTTCATTTCCTCTTTAAGGACCTCTATCATCTTCATAAAGTTGTGTTTAAGGTTGTTTTCTTGTGCTAAGGCCACGTTGGAATATTCAGGTCTTGCTGTCATAGGATAGCTGGCTTTGGTGGTGCCATATTGCCCTGGCTGTTGTTGATTGTATTTTTACACCGGCATTTGGTCATCTGGGCTTGGGATAATTAGTTCTAGTCCCTGATTTCTGAAATTGTCTTTCTTGGATGGGTATTTTGTTCTTTGGCTTCTGTTTCCTCTTTGGTTTTCTAGTCTTTGTGGCCTAAATTTCTGGGGACTTACATGACCTCTGCTGTAGTTGGGAGTTTCTGTCCAAGTTGGGAGTTAACTTGGCCTTTAGTATAGCAGGAGCCCTGGGGTCTCTGTTCTTCTGATTGCTGTGGTCTGCACCTGTGCAGATAAAGCATGTTCAAGCTGGTGTTGTTTGTGCCTTTTCTGACCAGAGTATCCTACAAAACCAGCTAGGATGGCGTGGGCTGTGGGAAGGGTCTCAGGATGTAAAATGTAAGGCATGGGGCAGTTCCACCTGTAGGCCAGTTACCCACCAGTTCTGGCTGGTGTGGCCTGTGCCTGTGTGGCCTAACATTGAAGCCTGCAAGGAGCTGGGGCAGCATGAGCAGGAGGAAGGATTCTGGGACCAGTTTCTTTTGTTTCTTTTTTTTTTTTTAAAATTTTATAAAAGGATTATTTTTTTTCATTCTTCCCCCCC